TTGTGAATGAAGGTGAAATAAAGACCTTTCAAAGCAAAAAGAAATTGAAAGAATTTGTCACCATCCATCCAGCCCTGCAAAAGATGCTTAAAGATGTGTTACACACAGAAATACAGAAATGATCATCAATACCAAAGAAGGTAAAGGAAGAAAATCTCTCAGGAAAAGACTACAGGAAGTTCAAACATAAATTAAAATCTTTGGACAAATGGAAGGGCAAAGTCACTACTTACCAATAGTCACATGAATGTAAATGGCCTCAACTCTCCAGTTCAAAGACACAGACTGGCTGAATGGATTAACAAAACCCATCTATTTGCTGCTTACAAGAAAGGTGCATGCAGACTGAAAGTGAAAGGTTGGAAAAGATATTCCATGCCAACAGAAACCAAAAAGAGCTGGAATAACCATCTTAATACCAGACAAATAGACTTTAACACAAAACTGTTAAGATAGTCAAGAGGGGCACTATATAATGGTTAAGGGATCAATTCAACAGGAAGATGCAACCATTATAACTGTATATGCACCTAATTACAGGGCACTGGGCTATTTAAAAATATGCTAAGGGATTTACAATACAATACAATACAATTATTGGGGACTTCAATACTCCACTTTCGGCAATGGACAGATCAATCAGACCAATAATCAATAAGGAAAAAGCAAATTTAATTCGCACTATAGACCAAATGGACCTAACAATATCTACAGAATTTTGTACTGCATTTAGAAAATACACATTCTTCTCAGTAGTGCATGGAACCTACACTAGGATTGACCACATACTAGGCCATAAAGCAAGATTAGTAATTCAAAAGAATTGAAATCATACCATGCATTTTCGGACCACAATGGGATGAAGCTGAAATCAGCAACTCAGGAAACTCTAGAGCATATGCAAATACATGGACACTGAACAACATGCTCCTGAATGAACAGTGTGTCATAGAATAAAGCAAAAACTTCTGGAAGCAAATGAAGATAACAACACAACATACCAAACTTATGGGATACAACAAAAGTGTTAAAGGAAATTTTATAGCAATAGGTGCCTACATCAAGAAATCGGAAAGGCACCAAATAATGAGCTATCAATGCCTCTCAAGGATCTAGAACAACTACAGCAAACCAAACTGAAACTAGTAGAGAAATAATTAAAATTAGAAAAGAAATCAGGGCCAGTGCTGTTGTACAGTAGGTTAATCTTCCACCTGTGGTGCCGCATCACATATGAACACTGGTTCTAGTCCTGGGTGCACTTTTTCCAATCCAGCTCTCTGCTATGGCCTGGGAAAGCAGTGGAAGATGGCTCAAGTCCTTGGGCCCCTGAACCCGTGTTGGAGACCCGAAGAAGCACCTGCCTCCTGGATTTGGATCGGCTCAGCTCTGGCCATTGTAGCCATATGGGTAGTGAACCAGTAGATGGAAGATCTTTCTGTCTGTCTCTCTCTCTCATTGTCTGTAAGTCTGCCTTTTAATAAATAAATAAAATCTTTGAGAAAATTAGAGAAGAATCAACAAAATTGAATAAACAATTACAAAGATCAGCAAAACATAAGAGCTGGTTTTTGAAAAAAATAAACAAATTGACACACCATTGAAAGAGAGGAATCTTCCCAAATTCTTTCTTTGAAGCCAGATCACCTTAATTCCTAAACCTGAAAAAGATGTAGCAGAGAAAGAGAATTACAGACCAATTTCTTTGATGAACATAGGTGCAAAAATCCTCAATAAAAGCCTGGCTAATAGAATCCAACAACACATCAGAAAGATCATCTACCCAGACCAAGTGAGACTTATTCCTGGTATGCAGGGATGGTTCAACATTTGCAAATCATCAATGTGATTACACCATATTAACAAACTGCAGAAGGAAATCACATGACTATCTTAATAGATGCAGAGAAAGCATTTTCCATCCGATGGTTCACTCCTCAGAAGGCTGCAATATCTGGAGCTGCACCAATCTGAAGTCAGGAGCCAGAAGCTTCATCGGGCCTCCAAGTGGGTGCAGGGGCCCAAGGACTGGGCCATCCTCCACTGGTATCCGAGGCCATAGCAGAGAGCTGGATCAGAAGAGGCACAGCTGGACTAGGACTGATGCCCATATGGATGCTGGAACTGCAGGCGGTGGCTTTACCTGCTAGGCACAGCACCGCCCCCTTAATAGATATTCTACAAAAATAAGATGGATAGCATGGAGCAGTGGGGCGGGCTAGTCATGCAGCCCCCAGGACACAACCTTTGACTCCCAAAGCCAGTGGTGAGGGAGAGGCCATCTCCTTGAGCAAGGTGAGAGAAACCTGCAGCAGCTCTGTCACTGTGATATTGCCTGAGGGACAACTCGCGGTCCACATGACTTTGAGTCCAGCCTGGGGCACTAATGGGGACCGTGGTGGCCCACCTAATCCTGTGAAGCCAGAGCATGTTGCTTTCTTCCCATCACCAACAAGGGTGCCTGGCAACGACCAGGAAGCACATGCTACCTTAATAAGGTGGGCAAGAGGCTGCTGTGGGCCACACAACTGGGGGATTTTTACCTGGAGGGATAAAATGCTGTGGTCCTCACTGACTTTGAGTCTGGCCTGGATGACTGGTCGGGGGCAGGGTGCCAATTAGGCCTATGAAGGACTAACCTTCCCTCACTCAACCAAGGTGGCTGAACTCAACTTGCTAAGGCACAGCACTGGCCAACTTTTTTGGGCAGGAAGCTGTCTCATCCTGTTTGCTCTCTCTGGACTGAGGGGGCCCAAGGGGCTGCAAGCAGATCCCCTTCTACCTGAGACCATGGGGCCTTACGCACTATGAATGTGGGAATTCTGTGACTGTGTGATAGGGTGTGGGGTATGGCTGGGTCTTTGGGTAAGCATCATGTGAGGATTCAGAGTCTGAGAATTCCCTGAGTGCCTGGGGTGGGTTGTCACAGAGGGCTCTGTGCTCACATTGATGAACAGAGATGCAAAATCCTCAACAAAATACTAGCCAATCAAATCCAACAACACATCAGAAAGATCATTCGCAAGGACCAAGTGGGATGTATCCCTGGTATAAAGGGATGGTACAATATTTACAAATCTATGTGATACATCACATTAGCAAATTGAAGAACAAAAACCATACGATTATCTCAATAGATACAGAGAAAACATTTGATGAAGTACAGCACCCTCTCATGATGAAAACTCTAAGCAACTTGGGTATAGAAGGAACATTCCTCAACCCGATCAATTTATGACAAACACATGGCCATTGTCCTATGAATGAGGAAACGTTGGAAGCATTCTCACAGAGATCTGGTACCAGACAGGATGCACACTCTCACCATTGCTATTCAGTGCAGTCCTGGAAGGTTTAGTCAGATTCCATTTGACAAGAAAAAGAAATCAAAAGGGGCCGGCGCTTCAGCTCAATAAGCTAATCCTCCGCATGTGCGCTGGCATACCGGATTCTAGTCTGGTCGGGGCACCGGATTCTGTCCTGGTTGCCCCTCTTCCAGGCCAGCTCTCTGCTGTGGCCCGGGATTGCAGTGGAGGATGGCCCAAGTGATTGGGCCCTGCATCCGCATGGGAGACCAGGAGAAGCACCTGGCTCCTGCCTTCGGATCAGCTGGGTGTTCCGGCCGCAATGCGCTGGACGCGGCGGCCATTGGAGGGTGAACCAACAGCAAGGGAAGACCTTTCTCTCTGTCTCTCTCTCTCATTGTCCACTCTGCCTGTCAAAAAAAAAAAAAAAAAAAGAAAGAAAGAAAGAAATCAAGAGGATACAAGTTGAGAAGGAGGAAGTGAAACTATCTCTATTTGCAGATGACATGATTTTATATATAGGGGACCCAAAAGACTCTACCCACAGACTATTGGAACTCAGAGAAGAGTTTGGTAAAGTAGCAAGATATAAAGTTAATACACAAAAATCAACAGCCTTTGTATACACAGACAATGCCTTACCTTACACCTTACACAAAATCCACTCAAATCTGTCAAAGACCCAAGTCTATGACCTGATACCATCACATTATTAGAAAACATTGGGGAAAACCCTGCAAGACATTGGCATAGGCAAAGAATTCTTAGAAAAATCCCAGAGGCACAGGCAATCAAATCCAAAATTGACAAACGGGATTACTTCAAATTGAGAAGCTTCTGCACTGCAAAGGAAATGCTCAGCAAAGTGAAGAGGCAACTGGTAAAATGGCAGAAATTACTTACCAACTATGCAACTGCTAAAGGATTAATAACCAGAATATGAAAAGAGATCACGAAACTCCACAACAGCAAACAATCCAGTCAAGAAATGAACTAAGACTTAAACAGGCATTTTTCCAAGGAGGAAATCCAAATGACCAACAGACACCCTAAAAAAACGCTCAGGGTCACTAGCCCTCAGGGAAATGCAAATCAAAATTGCAGTGAGGTTTCACCTCACCCCTGTCATAATGGGTTTCATACAGAAATCAATAAACAACATGGCTGGTGTGGATTTGTGGGAAAACGTACCCTAATCCATGGTTGGTAGGAATTAAACTGGTACAGCTACTGTGGAATGTCAGTATTGAGTTACCTCAGAAATTTGAATAGAGACCAAGCATATGACCCAGCCATCCCACTCCTGGGATTTTACCAAGTGAATGAAATCAGCATATGAAAGAGTTATCTGTACCCTCATGTTTATTGCAATTCAACTCACAATAGCTAAGATATGGAATCAACCCAATGCCCATTAACTGAAGACTGGATAAAAGAAGTTTTGTGATGAGTACGTATGCATCGACTGTTGAATTCTTTACTTAGGATATGCTAAGTTGATCTCTGTATATAAAGATAATTAAACATGAATCTTAATGAAGAATGGGATGGGAGAGGGAGGAGGAGATGGGATGGTTTGCAGGTGGGAGGGTGGTTATAGGAAGAAAAACCACTATAATCCAAAAGTTGTAATTTTGAAATTTGTATTTATTAAATAGAAATTTTAAATAAGAAAGAAAGACAAAAAAAAAAAAAAAGAAACTTGTGCATCAGCCTTCTCTGGCAGCCCAATGTCTCCATCCCATTTGCCTCAAGCTCTTCAAGCTTCCATATCACATCTTGCATCAACTGCACGGGTCAAGCTAGTGAAGACACCTAAGGCACAAAGGCAGAAACAGCAGGAGATCACCTGATAAGGAAAAGGGTGGGGTAGGGATGGAGGAGACAGAGGGATGGATGGTGCTCTGCATGTTCAGACGCTCAGTGTGGATTTTTTCTGACTACACTAAGAGTCCCTGGGGAAGGTGCTGGTGACTCAGAGGGTGGGGCTCAGCTTTCTACTGAGGAACATGAGGTCTGCTTCTCCGGGACTCATCTCCACACAAGCAGGTCCAGCTCAGAGGGCAGGGGTGGACTCAGGGAATCCCTTTCCCATTTCCCAAGCCAGCCATCTGCCCTGTGCTTCCCTCCCGTGCTGCCCTCCATACCTGTCACTCAGAATGGCTCCCCTTACCTGACAAGGAGGACTGAGCCGGTGAGGAGCAGGAGAAAGGTCCAGGACATGGGCATGGTGGCCGTGACCTTGGATGGGACAGCTCCTGAGGTTGTGGGTGGCTGCGCTGAAATGGAAGCAGAAGATTGGAGGCCCCCATGCAGACTCCAAACCCCAGGAGAGGCCTTCCAGCTCCTGCTCCTGGGAAAGGCAACCATGCTGTTGCTGTCATAGGGAGGGACACAGCACTGGATCACGTTCTCAGACATGCACACACCGGCACAACACACACACATGCATTCATGCCTACATCCTCACATGCACACACAGACACACAGCATGCACACAAATCCATGTTCCCACACGCATATCCACCGGCAACCACACCATTGCACCAAAACCCTTGCACACACACATGCACATGGTGGCTTCACCTCATCTCCAGGGAAAACCCCTTCCCGCCCCCCCTGGCCCTAGTTACCTGTAGACTCCAGCATCTCCTCCCTGGGCAACAAGAAGTTCCCCAGCCACCTTGTGCAGTCTCCCATGGACACCTTCCGCAAGAACTCAGTCAGCTGCCTGTCATTCTCCCAGGTCGTCTTCATCCAGCTGGCCCCAGGATGAACCTCTGTCCACATTCTGGCGTCCGGGTCAAAGAGGAGGCCGATCTTTCCATCGAAGCTGAACTGCCAGGACCCGTGCCTGCCGCCGCTGGCTCCACGCCAGCAGCACATCCTGCCCTGCAGGCTCTGGAGATCTGTGCACATTGGAAAGACATTGGCAGAGATCAGTCTTGACAGGTCCTCTGCCCCACCTGGGATCCACTTCTCCCATCCGTTTCTCTGGTATCTCCTGGCCCTGCTCTGTCCTCTGCATCCTGCACTTCCTCCTGGGGCACTTGAGTGGGGCCAACTTGCAACTTCACAGAAACATAAGGAAGTCCCCATGCCCAGATCAGTCTTGACAGACCCTTTGCCCCACCTGGGATCCTGCATTCCCGTCCCCTTAGCATCACCTGGCCCTGATCCTACCACTCCCACCTTGTCGCTGGGCCTCCAAAGGAAGAGCAGTGTCCAGTTCTGCACATGGAAATCCTCAGTCCTGGTTCACAATACCTGCCCTCTGCCCAGGGACTTTCAGGCTCACCCTTGCTTGTGGAATGTTTCATTTCAGCCACTTGCTGGTTGAGGGCGTCCACCATGTCTCGCAGCATTTCTGTCTGCTCTGCCCAGTTGTCAATGGCATCCACTTCCCTCCCAAGGGGGTCAAAAAAGCTGATCTTAGTGAAGCTGCAGTCACAGTGCAGAATCCTCCTGTCATCCACGTGACCTTGAACATCACAGCGTTGCTGTCCAGGTCTGGCCTTGGGATTGACAGTTATGTTGTAGCAGAGGGAGTGAGCATCTGTGGAAGAGAAACACGAGTGAGGTGTGGGGATGAGAAAGGACTCACACTCAACCTCTCCCCCAGCTCCAAGACACTCAAGAGCCCACCTGAAGGGCGGGGCTGGGACGCAGGGAAATCAATTCCTGCCATGGCAACTCCATCACTGGCTCCTGACTTTCTCCCACCTGTGCTCCTTGTAATTCATTCAGGTTCTCTGACCAAGTACACAGGGTCCTTGGCATGGCCCCCGAGACTCAGAGGGAGCTGGTGACAGGAGTCCTGTGTAAGCACACACAGTACCTAAGCTCACATGCATCTGAACAGAAACTCCGACACCACGTGCTTAGGAAGTGCAAACCATGGTGTGCATGGTCCCTGGGCAGCCACTGTCTTCTGGGAGCATCTGGCAGAACTGACTCCAAGAGGCAAGAGAAAGACAGAGACAGGTGTGCCTAGGAGGGCAGGACTGAGAACAAGGTTTCCCGAGAGGCAGGCAGTGGGAAACAGCAACGGCTCTCGCTGCACGCCTCTGGGTGAAGGAAAGTCTAGGTAACTCGGGGAGTGAGCACACGAGGACACCAACGTCCACCACCAGAGACCGCAGATCTCCACGTACATCCCATGGACGCCGGTCCTGGGTAAAACACAGAACTCGAGCCCAGAACTTCAGTTTCCTGAGCTGGAGCCACCCGTGCCCCTCGCCTGTGAGGAACTCCTGGTGGGCGCCCTGTGAAAGGCAGGTGTCTTTTTAACTGCTCCGGAGGTACTGGCTGTAGGTTAGGTAGGAAGTGAGCAGGGAGGGTGTTGGAGAGAGACCCTGGGCCACAGAGGGGCCTCTGGAGGGTGGAGAGCAGCAGGTCTGTTTAGTTCACAGTCATGGCAGGCTCCCATGGCTGGAGATCACAGGAAGCCTGTCAGGAGGGGTTGGGCAAGACCTGGACATCTGCCAGCTCACATTCCTCCCTTAAGGGAGGCCTCTCAGCTGCTGGGAGCTGTTTGAGCGGCAGCCCTGCAAGCACAGGGTGTGAGTCATCCTCCCCTGCGTGTGGAAGAAACTCCTCCTGCAGGAACTTAACACAGATTATGGGTGAGACCACCCTCTAAGGTAGCTGAGTCTGCTGGACAGGTGGTGATGCAGGTGAACACTGGGTGAATACCAGGCTGATTCCCAGAATTCCCTCTGAGAGGATATCTAGTAACCAGCTGAGGGCTTGCAGGCCATGTAGCATCAGCTGCAACCACCCCGCTCTGAGCTTCCAGCACCACAGGAACCTCAGACAACACGTGGGTCTTCAAGGTGCTCACAGAAAGTACATGTTCCCAGGAAAACAGGGACTTTGTGTGCACAGGTTTCAAAACGTTTTCTGCGCCCAATTAGACACCTTTTCATCCCATCTCTCCACAAATTGGTTGAAGATGTGAATGAATGAATGAATGAATGAACGCGGTTGTATTTGCCCCATTCTCCACGGCCAGAGCTCTGTGCTGGGAAAGGGGCCGTGTCGGGCAACTCCTATCTGGAGAATGCTAGCCTGGACCTCCAGTGTGGACAGGCAAGGCCACACCCACTACACAAGGGACGTCTACCCATTTCAGTGTGCACACAAGTTGGCCAGCTCCTGTGAAAACAAGGCTCGTCACCTATAATGCTGCCTCCCAGCAGCAAGGGGAAGTGCAGGACCAGGTGCCTGAACCCAGGGTGGTGGTGGGGGAATGGTGGCCCCATCCCTTCAAATTCAGGTCCTGGGCTGAGGTCCAGGTGTGCCTGCCTGGGGCGACCTCAGGCAGCGGAATGACACCATCAGGTAGGGGAGAAGTCAGGACCTGCCAGATGAGAAAGGGACAGATTGGACCCGAAGCCCGGGGATCCTGGTCCTGTGGCAAACTAGTCTACAGGCTTCCAGTGACTAAGCGACTCAGGGGGGAGGTGGCTGGATGAGAAAGGCAGACTGGCAGAGAATCCCTGTGTTCCTGGTCTCATGCTGAGATGGCCCCGGGGCTCACAGGACTCATCAACTCAGGAGTGAAGTGGCCTGATGAGGCTGTGAGCGGTGGGGATAGTGGGTGGTGGCTGGCAGCAAGTGGACGCTGGTGGTTGGAGGGGGAGTTGTGGTTGCAGAGCGGGCTCAGGGGATGGCCTTCCTGCAGGGTCCGCACTCATTCACGCCCCCTGGCTCAGTGACCCCAGGAAGGGCCTGGGGCACCATCAGTTTCCACCGCCCCCTCCCATCCTCCTCCTGTGACCTCTAGGAGAAGGGGCCTCAGGGTAGCCACAGGCCCGCGAGGAGGTCCCCACCCTCTCTCCCAGGCCCTGCTCCCCTGCCCTGAAAGCACTCACCGGCCAGCAGTGCCCGGAGCCCGGCTGCCAGCAGAGGCAGGAGCAGAAGCAGCAGGGACGTGAAGCAGCGCAGGGCTAGCAGCTCCATGCCGGAGTGAGTGAGTTCAGCACTGACTGCGTATTTAAGGACAGCCAACTCATTTACATACAGTTACAAGGACTTCTTCGCGCCACTGGCTGCTGGCCCTGTGCCCTGGAAATAAGGGTGGAGTGAGAGCAGCTCTGAGGTAGCCGCCTGAATCTTGTCTGCAGTTACCCGTGCTGGCTTTGTGGCTGCACTTACCAAGGCTGCCTGCAGGGGCGCTGACACCCATCCTCCACAGGGAAACTCTAGTGGCTTTTGTTGGAAATGTTTCTCCCTGTAGAAGCTGCTGCTTTAGTTAAATGTGTGTGGATTTCTCTTGTTTCTCTCTCTCTCTTTTTTTTCAGTAATTGGAGGGGCAGCAAGTGAGAAACTTGCCTCCCTCCAATCGTTTTGAAGGAGAATGGGCCTTCCCTGTCCTGCCCTGAGCGCTCTGAGCTAAAAGCGCAGAGGCTGCACAGGGAGCATTGGATGGAGTTGTTCCTTGGGATGCTTTGTGCCATCCAAGAGCCAGAAAGAGTCCAGCACCTGCAGGGTCCGGAACACTGCAGGTGAGAACGCTCTCCTCTCTCTCTCCCTCCTTCTCTCTCTCTCTCTCTCTCTCCCTCTTTCCCTGTGCATGTGTGTGTGTGTGTGTGTGTGTGTTGCTCTGCCTACAGAAGGAAAGGTGGAGGGAGGGTTAGGAGAAGGAGAAGGAGCAGGAGGAGGGAAGGAGGACAGACAGATGAAGAACAGGTGGGCGGGCTGCAGGGAGGCAGGCAGGCAGGCGTCCTGCATTCCTGGTGCTTGTTAAAACCCACTCCGAGGTGTGGCTGCAGCACAGCTCAGGCTCCCCTTTCCCTCTTGCTGAGCGAGAGGTGTCCATGGAGCACCCGCTGCTGCCCACTCTGACAATGATTCCTCGAGTGGAGCGTACATGCTGCTTGCTGCCCACACACCCTATGCCTGTGTTCCTGTGCCCCAGTCTCCCGTGACTGGGCCCTGAATCTGCGCTACACAATCCTGAGCTGGCTAAGCCTTCTTCAACCCACAGGCCATGAACCAGCAGCTGAAACCTGGTGTAGGAAAGGGCCCCTCCCTCTCCCTCTCCCTCCACCAGGCTGGCTCCTGACAGGGAGAATTTCTTAGAACTCAGGGCTGAGCTGGTCCCAGTTAATGCTACTGAGGGACATGAGGACTGATTTTCCTGTCTCATTTCCAGAATGAGACATTGTAGTCCAGGGGGCAGGGCTGGACTTGGGAATTCCCTCTGCCATCATCCCACCCAATCCCATCTGCCCTCTGCTCCCCTCCCAATGCTGCCCTCCATACCTGTCACTCAGAATGGCTCCCCTTGCATGACAAGGAGGACTGAGCTGGTGAGGAGCAGGAGAATGGTCCAGGGCATGGGCATGGTGGCCGTGGCCTTGAATGGGACCGGTCCTGAGGTTGTGGGTGGCCATGCTGAAATGGAAGCAGAACACTGGAGGCCCTGTCCGGACCCCAAACCCCAGAGAGATCTTCCAGCTCCTGCTCCTGGGAAAGGCAGCTGTGCACACAGCTGGCACCCGTACTGTGAACTGCTGGGACAGGTCCTGGGGGAGCAGGGAGGGAGGATGGGAAAGATCTGCCAGAGAGGAAGTCAGGGTGACCATGCAGACCGTCCCTCCTGGGGGGCCAAGATGGGAGAGGCTCGGGGTGGCACCAGGAAGGGAGGCAGGAGCTGGACCTGGAGATGGTTCTGAAGGAACCAAGAGAGAGAGCGGAGGAAACGGGAGAAAAGCGAATCTAAGAAGAGGGGACTGCGAAGAAGGGCTAGAAACAGTGATGTCCACGGGGTGGAGGCCAGCAGGGGGCGGGTAAGGGGACTGAAATACATGGGTGAGGAGGAGATGAGCAGGAGGAGGAGGAGAGGCGTGAGGACAGGCACAGCTCCGGATGTGAGGACACATATTGGATTGCTTAGACACACAGGATCACACACACATGCACACAGCACCCTAACATGCACACAAACAGCAAAGGACACGCATAGGCTCACTCAACACACATACACTATCACACCCACACTCTCATACATGCACACCCACATTCCCACGCCACACCCACCAGCATCCACTCCCTTATATGCACACACACCCATACCCTCGCATACACACAAACCAAAGTACAGCACACTCACATGCACAGTGCACCCACACCGTGCACGCACACACTGGGGTGGCTTCACCTCATCTCCAGGGAAAACCCCTTCCCGCCCCCCCTGGCCCTAGTTACCTGTAGACTCCAGCATCTCCTCCCTGGGCAACAAGAAGCTCCCTAGCCACCTTGTGCAGTCTCCCACGGACACCTTCTGCAAGAACTCAGTCAGCTGCCTGTCATTCTCCCAGGTCGTCTTCATCCAGCTGGCCCCAGGATGAACCTCTGTCCACATTCTGGTGTCTGGGTCAAAGAGGAGACCGATCTGTCCACCGAAGCTGAACTGCCAGGACCCGTGTGTGCCACCACTGGCTCCACGCTGACAGCACATCCTGCCCTGCAGGCTCAGGGGATCTGCCCCCATTGGAAAGACATTGGCAGAGATCAGTCTTGACTGATCCCCTGACCCACCTGGGATCCACTTCTCCCATCCATCCCTCTGGTATCTCCTGGCCCTGCTCTGTCCTCTGCATCCTGCAATTTCTCCTGGGGCACTTGAGTGGGGCCAACTTGCAACTTCACAGAAACATATGGAACTCCCCATGCCCAGATCAGTCTTGACAGACCCTCTGCCCCACCTGGGATCCTGCATTCCCGTCCCCTTTAGCATCGCCTGGTCCTGATTTCCTACCTCTCCACCTTGTCGCTGGGCCTCCAAAGGAAGCGCATTGTCCAGTTCTGCACGTGGAAATCCTCAGTCCTGGTTCACAAACCTGCCCTCTGCCCAGGGACTTTCAGGCTCACCCTTGCTTGTGGAATGTTTCATTTCTGCCACTTGCTGGTTGAGGGCGTCCACCACGTCTCGCAGCATTTCTGTCTGCTCTGCCCAGTTGTCAGTGGCTGGCAGCAAGTGGACGCTGGTGGGTTGGAGTGGGAGTTTGTGGGTGTCGAGCGGGGACGCCTCCGTGCAAGGTTCGCACTCATTTGCGTGCCCCCTTGCTCCGTGCCTACTGTGGGCAGGATGGGGGGTAGGGCACCAGCAGTTCCCACTGCTCCATCCCATCCTCTTCCTTGGACTCCAGGAGAAGCCGCCTCAGGGAAGCGCAGGCCTGCGAGGAGGTCCCCACCCTCTCTCCCTGCCCTGTGCCCTGCCCTGAAAGCACTCACCGGCCAGCGGCGCCCAGAGCCCAGCTGCCAGCAGACGCAGAAGCAGAAGCTACAGAAAAGTGAAGGGGTGCCCGGGCAGCAGCTCCATTGCAGAGTACTGAGTCAGTTCAGAGCTCACTGGGTATTTAAGTACAGGAATTGTGTAGGTACCCGGGTTTATTGGTTAAGGAAGGCTGGGGTGAGAGTGGCTCCAAGGCAGCTAGGTTATAGATTAATCTTTGCGGCTGCCTCTAAGGCTTCGTCTGCAAGGGCGCTGACAGGGGCACTGATACCCGTCTTCCCCAAGGAAAACTAGCGCTATTGTTGGAATTGTTTTCTCCTTCTTGAAGTTTGCTGTTTTAGTTAAATGTGTGTGAGATTTCTGGTGCCTTTTTTTTTTTTTTTTTTCCAGTAATCGGAGGGACAGCCAGTGAGAAGCTCACCCCCACCTCCGAATCATTTTGAAGGACAGCTCGGCCTGCCCTGTCCCGCCCTGAGCGCTAGGAGCTAAAAGGGCATCGGTTTTAAAAGGGTGCGGAGGGCTGGTGCTGCAGCTCACAAGGCTAATCCTCCGCCTGCGGCATGAGCAGCCTGGGTTCTAGTCCCAGTTGGGTCGCTGGATTCTGTCCTGGTTGCTCCTCTTCCAGTCCAGCTCTCTGCTGTGGCCCGGGAAGACAGTAGAGGATCGCATAAGTGCTTGGGCCTCTGCACTCGCATGAGAGGCCAGGAAGCACCTAGCGCCGGCCATGGTGGCCATTTGGGGAGTGAAGCAACAGAAGGAAGACCTTTCTCTCTGTCTCTCTCTCTGTCTATAACTCTGCCTGTAAAAAAAAAAAAAAAAAAAAAGGGCGCAGAGCCGCACAGCCAGTTGCCAAGAGTGAGTCTCTTGGTTGCCAAGAGTGAGTCAGAGTCCAGCACCTACACGCCTGAACGGGCTCGCTCTCTCTCTCTCCCTCTCCCTGTCTCTCTCTCTGTTGCTTGCTCTGTGTGTGTGTGTGTCTTGCTCTTCCTAGAGAAGGAAAGGTGGAGGGAGGGTAGGGAGAAGGAGAAGGAGGACAGACAGAGGAAGAACAGGTGGGCGGGCTGCAGGGAGGCAGGCAGGCAGGCATCCTGGGTTCCTGGCCTTGTTAAAACCCCACTCTGGGGTGTGGGGTGCAGAACACCTTGGGCTCCCCTTTCCCCCTTGCTGGCTGAGAGGTGTCCATTGAGCACCCGCTGCCGCCCACTGCTGTCTCTATGGTGAAGAGCATGAGTTCAGCGACACTAGCACATAAATAAGGCACACAGTATTTATGAAACAAATCTTCAATCAAGTCAAACATTTTGGTGTTTGGGATCCAGACTCTCTTGTGCCCTCACTGTGCCATCAGCAACCGTAGAGGGGTCTGGGGTTTGGATTCCACCTTGACTGCCTTACCCCACCTCTAACCCCATGCATGCATCATCTAGGGCGCCCATTCTGGGCTTTGGGCTTCGCTGGAGCAGCTGGAACGCCCGGCCTGCAGGGCTGGAGTAGCCTGCACTCTCTGAACTTGGGTTAACGGCTCATGACAGGTGAAAATATGTAATCAATACATAAAAACAAAACGGTACAGAAATGTAAGACGAGAAGGAGTGCACAGGTAGTGTCTTGCAGGCTGATCTAAACTCTCACTGGCACGACTGCTTGCAGTCACTCTCCTTCTTATATTCCGTGTTTCTCTTTATAACTTGGATGTTAAACTGGGCTCTTCCAGGTGTCAATTGAAAAAAGCTAAAAATAAATAAATAAATAAAAAGGACTCTTTGACCAAGTCTCCCAGGTCTTCCCTATTCCCTCAAAGGAACGCTTCCAAATAGGACTCTGGGCCACTCAGCACGGAATCTGGGCTCCTGGGCTAGGCAGGGCCTACATCCTTCCTCAGCCTGATGAGGTCACAGGAGACAGGCTCGTCCTGTTTCCCAGTAGAGAAGGAAGGGGCCAGAGTCCCTGAGTAGGGGAGCTCTCAATGCACACAGCTCGACGTGAGTAGACCCCAGAGGCCCAAGAGGGCTGCAAGCACTTTCCACGGCCCAACAACTCCAAAGGCACCCAGTGGTGAATGTCCCAGATAGGCAGCGTCATGTCAGCCGTGTGGTCACTGTGGTTGTGATTCCAGCATCACAGATGGGAGAGGCCCTGGTTAGAGAAAAGACAGGTGATGCCCTGCTCCAGGACAGCCCCGGCTACTCCTAGAGTCCTCCTCCCGTCTCAGGAATTCTCAACTCCCCACCCCATCAGATGCAATAAAGAAGGAATCTTCCTCAGATTCTCAGCACAGATGCTGTTGCCCCTGCCCGCCCGCTCTCCTGCCCTGAGAGTGGACTTTGCTTACAACAGACCTTGCTAGTTCATTTTAACCTTGGAGCATTCCAGAGTTCTCTTCCTGCAGGGGGACCAAGACCTTGGACAGGTTCTCTGGTACCAGGAACGCCCTGCGCTCTGCCTTAGGAGTTGGTTCCCAAAGGCCTTCCCACCCCTCATCCTGGGATGGGCTCAGCCTCCTCTTTGCTTGGAGGGTGGGATCTCTGACAACGACTCCTCAAGTGAGCGTCCATGCTGCTTGCTGCCCACAAACCCTATGCCTGTGTTCCTGTGCCCCAATCTCCCGTGACTGGGCCCTGAATCTGCGCTACACAACCCAGAGCTGGCTAAGCCTTCTTCTACCAACCGGCCATAAACCAGCTGCTGAAACCTGGTGTAGGAAAGGGCCCCTCCCTCGCCCTCCAACAGGCTGGCTCTTAAAAGTGAAAATTTCTTAGAACTCAGGGCTGAGCTGGTCCCAGTTAATGCTTCTGAGGGACATGAGGACTGATTTTCCTGTCTCACTTCCAGAATGAGACAGTGCAGTCCAGGGGGCAGGGCTGGACTCAGGGAATTCCCTCTGCCATCGTCCCACCCAATCCCATCTGCCCTCTGATTCCCTCCCAATGCTGCCCTCCATACCTGTCACTCAGAATGGCTCCCCTTGCATGACAAGGAGGACTGAGCTGGTGAGGAGCAGGAGAATGGTCCAGGGCATGGGCATGGTGGCCGTGGCCTTGAATGGGACTGGTCCTGAGGTTGTGGGTGGCCGTGCTGAAATGGAAGCAGAACACTGGAGGCCCTGTCCAGACCCCAAACCCCAGAGAGATCTTCCAGCTCCTGCTCCTGGGAAAGGCAGCTGTGCACACAGCTGGCACCCGTACTGTGAACTGCTGGGACAGGTCCTGGGGGAGCAGGGAGGGAGGATGGGAAAGATCTGCCAGAGAGGAAGTCGGGGTGACCATGCAGACCGTCCCTCCTGGGGGGCCAAGATGGGAGAGGCTCGGGGTGGCACCAGGAAGGGAGGCAGGAGCTGGACCTGGAGATGGTTCTGAAGGAACCAAGGGAGAGAGCGGAGGAAACGGGAGAAAAGCGAATCTAAGAAGAGGGGACTGCGAAGAAGGGCTAGAAACAGTGATGTCCACGGGGTGGAGGCCAGCAGGGGGCGGGTAAGGGGACTGAAATACATGGGTGAGGAGGAGATGAGCAGGAGGAGGAGGAGAGGCGTGAGGACAGGCACAGCTCCGGATGTGAGGACACATATTGGATTGCTTTCTTAGACACACAGGATCACACACACATGCACACAGCACCCTAACATGCACACAAACAGCAAAGGACACGCATAGGCTCACTCAACACACATACACTATCACACCCACACTCTCATACATGCACACCCACATTCCCACGCCACACCCACCAGCATCCACTCCCTTATATGCACACACACCCATACCCTCGCATACACACAAACCAAAGTACAGCACACTCACATGCACACAGCACCCACACCGTGCATGCACGCACTGGGGTGGCTTCACCTCATCTCCAGGGAAAACCCCTTCCCGCCCCCCCTGGCCCTAGTTACCTGTAGACTCCAGCATCTCCTCCCTGGGCAACAAGAAGCTCCCCAGCCACCTTGTGCAGTCTCCCACGGACACCTTCCGCAAGAACTCAGTCAGCTGCCTGTCATTCTCCCAGGTCGTCTTCAACCAGCTGGCCCCAGGATGAACCTCTGTCCACTTTCTGGTGTCTGGGTCAAAGAGGAGACCGATCTGTCCACCGAAGCTGAACTGCCAGGACCCGTGTGTGCCACCACTGGCTCCACGCTGACAGCACATCCTGCCCTGCAGGCTCAGGGGATCTGCCCCATTGGAAAGACATTGGCAGAGATCAGTCTTGACAGATCCTTTGCCCCACCTGGAATCCACTTCTCTGTCTGTCCCTTGGTATCTCCTGGCCCTGCTCTGTCCTCTGTATCCTACACTTTCTCTGGGGGTAGTTGGTTGGGGCCAACTTGCAACTTCACAGAAACATAAGGAAGTCCCCATGCCCAGATCAGTCTTGACAGACCCTTTGCCCCACCTGGGATCCTGCATTCCCGTCCCCTTAGCATCGCCTGGCCCTGATGTCCCACCTCTCCTGCCCTGCCACTGGGCCTCCAAAGGAACCCCAGTATCCAGTTCTGCACATGGAAATCCTCAGTCCTGGTTCACAATACCTGTCCTCTGCCCAGGGTCTTTTCAGGCTCACCCTTGCTTGTGGAATGTTTCATTTCAGCCACTTGCTGGATGAGGGTGTCCACCACATCTCGCAGCATATCTGTCTGCTCTGCCCAGTTGTCAATGGCATCCACTTCCCTCCCAAGGGGGTCAAAAAAGCTGATCTGAGTGAAGCTGCAATCACAGTGCAGAATCCTCTTGTCATCCACGTGACCTTGAACATCACACCGTTGCTGTCCAGGTCTGGCCTTGGGATTGACAGTTATGACATAGCAGAGGGAATGAGCATCTGTGGAAGAGAAACACAAGTGAGGTGTGGGGATGAGAAAGGGCTCACACTCAACCTCTCCCCCAGCTCCAAGATACTCAGGAGCCCACCTGAAGGGCGGGGCTGGGACGCAGGGAAATCACTTCCCGCCATGGCAACTCCATCACTGGCTCCTGACTTTCTCCCACCTGTGCTCCTTGTGATTCATTCAGGTTCTCTGACCAAGTACACAGGGTCCCAGCATGCCCCCGAGACTCGGAGGGAGCTGGTGACAGGAGTCCTGTGTAAGCACACACAGTACCTAAGCCTACATGCATCTTAACAGAAACTCAGACACCACGTGCTTAGAAAGTGCAAACCATGGTGTGCATGGTCCCTGGGCAGCCACTGTCTTCTGGGAGCATCTGGCAGAACTGACTCTAAGAGGCAAGAGAAAGACCAAGACAGCTGTGCATAGGAGGGCAGGATTGAGAAACACGGTTTCCAGAGTATGGCAGGAGTGCGCGATCAGGGCTGATCAGTCAGCTGGGGGGTCCTACAGGGAAGAGTGTGAAGAGACAGGTGGACATACAGGAGTGCACCTGTCACCTGAGTGCATGCACACATGCACCTACGTGGACCCAACCAGGGCTGACACCACACACCGGGAAGAAGCTGGCAGAAGCAGTTAGCACAGTGGCTGGATGATGACCGCCTCCCCTACCCGCACCTGAGGCCAAATCTCCTGTCCAGACGAGGACTGAAAACAGCAGCACTGAGCGGGACCCAGTGAGAGGAGAGGAAACTTTCTCAGGAAAGGTCAAGGCAGTCACAGGTTTACAGTGAGAGACAGCAACAGCTTTTACTGCAGGACTCTGGTTGTAGAAAAGCCTGGGTAACTCGGGGAATGGGCACACGAGGACACCAACATTCACCACCAGAGACCGCAGATCTCCACGTACATCCCATGGATGCCGGTCCTGGGTAAAACACAGAACTCGAGCCCAGAACTTCAGTTTCCTGAGCTGGAGCCACATGTGCCCCTCGCCTGTGAGGAACTCCTGGTGGGCGCCCTATGAAAGGCAGGCGTCTTGTTACCTCTTCTGGAGGTTACTGGCTTGTGGATTTGGAAGGAAGTGAGCAGGGAAGGTGTTGGAGAGGGACCCTGGGCCACAGAGGGGCCTCTGGAGGGTGGCAGAGCAGCAGGTCTGTTTAGTTCACAGTCATCGCAGGCTCCATGGCTGGAGATCACAGGAAGCCTGTCAAGAGGGGTTGGGGAATACCTGGACATCTGCCTCTCTTAATCCAACAGAACGTTTTCACTGCTATGAACAGTTTTTTGGCAGCCCTCCAAACACAGGGTGTGAGTCATCCTCCCCTGAGTGTGGAAGAATTTCCTCCTGCAAGAACCTGAACACAGATTATGGGGGAGTCACCTTTTAACTAACATAGCTGAGTCTCCTGGACAGGTAGTGATGCAGGTGAACACTGGGTGAATACCAGGCTGATTCCCAGAATTCCCTCTGAATGGGACGTTCAGCCATTTCAGGGTGGTTCTTGGTATGGGTGCGGGCAATGGAGAGAGGGGGTGCATCTGGCCATGGGCTAGGGGGGACCACACAGCCTCCCAGCTGCCATCATGAGCAGGGCTCCTCACCCACGAGGTCATTCAAGTGACAGGCCTGGCAGTGGCCGCTGGACACGATTCTCTGGAGCCGGGGGTGTGGGGGCAGGGCCAGATGAAGCAAAGCAGCTGCAGGAGCAGGGAGCCTGTCCCCAGATGCCAGCACGAGGCAGCACCACTCACCCCGAGGTGAGCTCACACCTGCGGCTCAGGGAGTGTCCCCACGTGGACCCAGGACTCCGCTGGACAGCACAGGAGTAGCAGTAATGCTGCAACCACAGGACCCCACTCCTCTCCCTGCGGCCACCAGAAGCCGCCACAGGACAGAATCCACTGCTGACTCTCACCCACGCACCCAAGACTCCACTCGAGAAGGACACCCTGCGGGCTAGGGCTCCAACAGCCGGGACATTGAGGATGCCGCGAACCTGGGCTGAGCAAATGGGACCCTGCTCAGATCTGGGCCCTAGTTCCTTTGCAAGTTGTCCCTGGCTGGTGGTGTCACTGCCACCCCCAGAAAGAGTTGAGCAGCTGGGGAGACAGATGACTCAGAGCCAGTACAGTCGTCCTTTGCACAAAAGTTGGCCAGTTCTGTACAAAACAAGGCTCATCACCTATAGTGATTCCTCCCAGCAGCCAGGAGGAAGTCAGGAGAAGGTGCCTGAACCCAGGGCCGTGGTGTTGGAATGGTGGCCCCATCCCTTCAAATTCAGGTCCTGGGCTGAGGTCTGGGTGTGCCTGCCTGGGGCGACCTCAGGCAGCGAATGACGCCATCAGGTAGGGGAAAAGTCAGGACCGGCCCAATGAGAGAGGGACAGATTAGACCCGAAGCCCGGGGATCCTGGTCCTGTGCCAAGACTAGTCTACAGGCTTACAGTGACTAGGCGACTCAGGGGGGAGGTGGCTGGATGAGAAAGGCAGACTGGCAGAGAATCCCTGTGTTCCTGGTCTCATGCTGAGATGGCCCCGGGGCTCACAGGACTCATCAACTCAGGAGTGAAGTGGCCTGATGAGGCTGTGAGCTGTGTAGCAGCAAGTGGATGCTGATGGGTTGGAAGGGGAGTTTTTGGTTGCAGGAGGGGTCAGGGGATAGCCGAGGTTGCCTCCGTGCAGGGTGCGCTCTCCTCCATGTGACCACTGGATCCGTGCCCAGGGCTGGGGCACCAGCATTTTCCACCGCCCCCTCCCATCCTCCTCCTGTAACTTCTGGGAGAAGCCTCCACAGGGAAGCTCAGGCCTTCGAGGAGGTCCCCACCCTCTCTCCCTGCCCTGTGCCCTGCCCTGAAAGCACTCACCGGCCAGCGGTGCCCCGAGCCCGGCTGCCAGCAGACACAGGAGCAGAAGCAGCAGGGAAGGGAAGCAGTGCCCGTCCAGCAGCTCCATGGCTGTGTGAGTCAGTTCGGAGCTCACTGGGTATTCTAGTGCAGGAATTGTGATGTCAAGTGGTTTTATTGGTCGAAGGGAGGATGGGGTGAGAGTGGCTCCAAGACAGCTAAGTTATAGATTAATCTTTGCGGCTGCCACTAAGGCTTCGTCTGCAGTTGCGCCGATACCCGTCTTCCCCAAGGAAAACTAGCGCTATTGTTATAAATGTTTTCTCCCCGTTGAAGTTTGCTGCTTTAGTTAAATGTGCGTGAGATTTCTGGTGTCTCTTTTTTTTTTTCAGTAATCGAAGGGACAGCCAGTGAGCTTGCCCCCGCCCCCGAATCTTTTTGAGGGACAACTAGGCCTGCCCTGTCCCGCCCTGAGCGCTGGATGCTAAAAGGGCCCTGGTGTTAAAAGGGCATTGAGGCCACACAGGAAGCAGGTTGCCAGGAGTGAGTGAGTCCAGTACCTACAAGCCTGAACACTGCAGGTGAGAGCGCTCGCTCTCTCCCTCTCTGCCTTCCTCCCACCCTCTCTCTCTCTCTCTCTCTCTCTCTCTCTCTGTGTGTATGTGTGTGTGTGTGTGTGTGTGTGTCTTGCTCTACCTACAGAGGGAAAGGCAGAGGAGGGTGGGGAGAAGGAGAAGGAGGGAAGGAGGACAGACAGAGGAAGAACAGGTGGGCGGGCTGCAGGGAGGCAGGCAGGCAGGCATCCTGGGTTCCTGGCCTTGTTAAAACCCCACTCCGGGGTGGGGCACAGCTCAGGCTCCCCTTTCCCTCTTGATGGGTGAGAGGTGTCCATGGAGCACCCGCTGTTCTCCACTGCTGTCTCTATGGCATGGAGCGCCAGCTCAGGGACACTAGTACATAAATAAAGCACACAGTATTTAGGAAACAAATCTTCTATCAAGTTGTACACTTTGATGCTTGGGATCCATTCTCTCTGTGCCCTCACTATGCCAGCAGCAACCATAGAGGGGTCTGGGGTTTGGATTCCACCTTGACTGCCATAGACCCCACCTCTACCCCCATACATGCATCCTCCAGGGCGCCTCGCTGGAGCAGCTGGAAGGCCCGGCCTGCAGGGCTGGAGTAGCCCTCACTCTCTGATCAGGTCTCATGCTGGGACCAGGCTCCCAGGGCTGTCTCACTTTCCCCATGGGAGCTCTATCCCTGGGCTGTGGCTCAGGCAGAGTACGAAGATAAGGGACAGGGTGGGAGGTGGAAAGATAAGTTAGAAACATGGCCAGCCATTTCTCACATGTCCACACGGGGAGCCCACGACTGTGTCCGTGGTCCCTAAAACAATGAGGTACCCTCTTCACCTAGCACAGAGGCATTGCGAGCCTGAACCTAGGTCACCATACGTGTTCAGACCCCACGTTGGGGGCCAGTCGTGGGCTCATCCCAGGAGTCCTGTGCACTGGGGTGGGGCAGCAACACTCTTCCACAAGATGCAACGGAGACAAGTTTCAGGGCACACGACAGCTTTATTAACGACCAAGCACACCTTGTAAAGGGCAGGCAGAGGGTGCATAACTGATTCAGGGCAGCACTAATTCTATAGATGAAGGTGGTATTGGTGCCACTATGCTTCTCAATCAGCTTGAAGGTCACATAGGCTCATAGCTTTCCAGGTGGGCCTGGGCCACACCCAGGAACAGTTTACCTGATTGGCAGAGGCAGGGCTGGGGAAAACGTGCCTGGGGCTCCTGGGCCTGCCAGCACTCAGGCTAACTGCATGGGCTAGGCAGGCAGTCTCATGGGATCTCCCACAGTGGAGTGTGCTGCATTGGGTCGCTGGGCCATAGTTAGAACAGGGAATGGCGAGGCACAGCTAGTGAAGAGATGTGATCCAAGTCATAGTACCAGCCTCACTGAACTTGGGCTAACGGCTCATGACAGGTTAAAATACAGAATCAATACATAAAAACAAAATGGTACAGAAACTCCAAAAGCACCCAGTGGTGAATGTCCCAGGTAGGCAGCGTCATGTCAGCCGTGTGTCACTGTGGTTGTGATTCCAGCATCACAGTTGGGAAAAGCCCTGGTTAGAGAAAAGACAGGTGATGCCCTGCTCCAGGACAGCCCTGGCTACTCCTAGAGTCCTCCTCCTGACTCAGGAATTCTCCACACACAGACACACACACACACACCCCATCAGATGCAATAAAGAAGGAATCTTCCTCAGATTCTCAGCACAGATGCTGTACCCCCTGCCCGCCCGCTCTCCTGCCCTGAGAGTGGACTTTGCTTACAACAGACCTTGCTTGTTCATTTTTTTAATATTGTATTTATTTATTTGATCAGTAGAGTTACAGACAGTGAGAGAGACAGATAGAGAGAAAGGTCTTCCCTCTGCTGGTTTCTCCCCAAATGGCCACCACAGCTGGAGCTGCACCAATCCGAAGCCAGAAGATAGGTGCCTCCTCCCGGTCTCCCATGTGGGAGGGCTCAAGCACCTGGTCCATCTTCTACTGTTATCCCAGGCCACAGCAGAGTGCTGGACCTGAAGAGGAGCAGCCAGGACTAGAACCAGGTCCTAGGATAGAAGGGAGGGAGGATGGGAAAGATCTGCCAGACGAAGCTGGGATGACCATGCAGACCGTCCTGGGGTGGCACCAGGAAGGGAGGCAGGAGCTGGCATTGGAGATGGTTCTGAAGGAACCAAGGGAGAGAGAGAGAGAGTAGAAGAATCGGGAGAACCGGGATTCTAGGAAGAGAGGACGGCGAACGAGCAGCTCTAGAACAGTGACAGCCACGGGGTGGAGGCCAGCAGAGCGGGGTGAGGGCACTGAAATCCAAGCCGTGAGGAAGAGATGAGCAGGAGGAGGAGGAGAGGCGTGAGGGAAGGCACAGCGCCAGATGCTGCTGCTGTTGTAGGGAGGACACACCACACTGGATCACATTCTCAGACACACACTCAGACATGCACACATAGGTACAACACACACACACATGCATTCATGTCTACACTCTCACATGCACACACAGGCACACACATCCACATTCCCACATGTACATCTGCCGGATTCCACACCATCGCACCAACACTATCACACCCACATGCACACGCCCACACACTTGCATGCACACACAGGCACAGCCCATGCATCTATGTACACATTCCAATACTTACATGCACACACACCCAGGTACAGCACACTCACATGCACAGTGCACCCACACCTTGCACACACACATGCACATGGTGGCTTCACCTCATCTCCAGGGAAAACCCCTTCCCGCCACCCCTGGCCCTCGTTACCTGTAGACTCCAGCATCTCCTCCCTGGGCAACAAGAAGTTCCCCAGCCACCTTGTGCAGTCTCCCATGGACACCTTCTGCAAGAACTCAGTCAGCTGCCTGTCATTCTCCCAGGTGGTCTTCATCCAGCTGGCCCCAGGATGAACCTCTGTCCACTTTCTGGTGTCCGGGTCAAAGAGCTGTCACCAGCTCTGTGACAGCAGAAAATCCTACTAAAAGGCAGGGGTCAAAAACTGACAGTTTCCTGGGCTCATCTCTTCATCAATCAAATGCTCCTCCTTTTGCCTCTGCCCACAAAGAAACCTCACTCTTCAGATATGGCTCCACCATCACTCTTCCTACCCCCTAGCCCATGGCCCTGTTGGGGAGGTGCCAGGCCTGGATGGCAGAGGGTCTGCAGATGCAGCCCACACAGATTGCGGGAAGCTGGGAGTGTGTGGGGTTGCCCTGGAGGGTGCTGGATCATCGTGGGACAGGGTCAGGGTGCAATCAGAGTTGGATGAGGGAGAGTTCCAGGTGCAGGATACAGTTCAGTCCCTTGGACACTGATGCTGATGTGGTACTAGTACAACTCTTGGAAGCTCAGGAGGCGATGTCCCATACTACATGCACTGGACAACTCAGAACCTCCATGGTAGGTTGTTCAGGGAGGGAACAAAATGTTGAGAGAAGCACACGTGCCAGGGTGGAAATAAAACAAAAATGCAAGGAAATGTCCAGGCCTCTGCTCCACGGGACACAGGTTCACCAAGCAAACAGAGAAAAGCGCCCGCATCATCAGAGCCACAGCCATGCCTCCTGCTCACGCCTGGGACTGGCCATAGCAGAAGGTGTCCCCAAAGTGGGCTCCCAGTGGTAATGGGGGTGAAGAATCCTGACTCAAGAGATCCCAAGTGCACGTGCCGAGCTGCCGGAACTAAGGAAGGTGCTGTGATTACAATGCTGTGGGGACCTAGCGGCAAACCAGATGTGCAGCCAACCTGGAACTGCCTGACTAAATCATTACAAAAAAACCCACAAAACACAAGGGCCAGCACTCAGGAGGCTGAAATGCAGCTGCCCCAGCAAGAATTCTGAAATCCTTGTGTCCAGTTTCCAGACTTCAGCCATGGCTCTGACCCAGACCCCACAACTTGAGGGGAGAGGTCACGTTCCCTCCAGGAAGGGCCCTTCAACCCCATGGCAAGGGCAGTGACACTGGTGGCCTTTCTCAGGGGGTGGACGGCCATTTGCTTGGCTAACCAGTGGCAAAGTAGAAAATACCCCAGGAAAGTGGGTGTTTGAAGTAGTGGTTAAGCTGTGGCTTGGAGTGCCCACACCCCACATTGGAGGGCCTGGGGCTGAATTCTGGCTCAGCTTTGCATTCTGGCTTCCTGCTATTGTGCACCTGGGGAGGCAGCAGGTGATGGCTCAAGTAGTTGAGCCTTGGCTGCCCACAAGAGAGACCAAACCGAATTCTAGGCTCCTTGCTTTGGCCTGGCTCAGCCCTGGCTGTTGTGGGGAGTGAACCAGTGAATGGAAGATCTCTCTCTTTCCCTCTCTCTTTCTGTGTTTTTCAAGTAAATGAAAATAAATACATAAAAATTTAAAAGAAAATACAACACCTAGACATTCATATAATGCATAGTATATTGATTAATAACACCCAAGTATCTGAAGCAGTTTTGTGGCTGCCTTGTAATTTTGTGGTACAGTGTGGCCAGGTAGTGAGTGGACACCTGGTCCAGGTTCTACTCACAGGAGTTTTTCTGGGTCAGTACCCCACACAATGGCCAGTTCACATTCCATGCAGTTGTATTAGGAATGAACAGTCTTAGGGCCGGCGCTGTGGTGCAGTGGGTTAACGCCCTGGCCTGAAGCACCGGCATCCCATATGGGCGCCAGTTCTAGTCCTGGTTGCTCCTCTTCTGATCCAGCTCTCTGCTATGGCCTGGAAAAGCAGTAGAATATGGCCCAAGTCCTTGGGCCCCTGCACCCCTGTGGGAGACCCGGAAGAAGCTCCTGGCTTCGGATTGGCTCAACTCCAGCCTTTGCGGCCAATTGGAGAGTGAACCAGTGGATAGAAGACCTTTCTCTCTCTGCCTCACTTCTCTCTGTGTAACTCTCTGACTTTTGAATATATAAATAAAATCTTAAAAAAAAAAAGGAATGAATAGTCTTTAAGTGAGCCACTTGCAGCATCAGGGCATCAGGGCTGCCCTGCTAGGCAGGCCACGTGCAGTGTTGGGCACTGCCTCCCCCATAACCTGGATAGTACATTTAAAAACCCAATACCTCTGACACTACACTAGTGTTCTATCTTCTCTCATGTTTGATCCCACCCTGGTCCCTAGAAGTTTCTGTAAATTTCTTAGACTTTGCAAGCCTTGTTGTCCTACTGACATCCACTCACCTCTGGTTTTGTAGCACAGAAGCAGTCAGAGAGAGTACATGAATGAGTGAGTGAGGCTGCATTGGCTACTGTGGCCCTGACTCAGGACCACTCAAAACAGCAGGCATTTGTGGTGGCAAAAGATCCTGTGTGGATTTCATGGTGATTCCTTTTTTTAAAGGCAGAGTTACAGAGAGAGGGAAAGGGAAAGATCTTCCATCCACTGGCTCACTGGCTCATTCCCCAAATGGCCGCAGATGGGGCAGGGACCCAAGTACTTGGGCCATCCTCCACTGCTCTCCCAGGCACATTAGCAGGGAGTTGGATCAGAAGTGGACCAACCAGGACTTGAACTAGCGCCCATATGGATGCTGGCACTGCAGTTGGCGGCTTAATGCACTGCACCACAGCACCAGCCCCCAGGGCTATTCCTAATGGAGAATCAGGACATGGGCTCCCAGTGTCCCGTGCCACTCGCAGCAGGGACAAGCATACCATGTGAGTGTACTCCTGGTTTGAGACTGGGCCCTGGGAGAGAGGAGGCTTCTGGTCATGGGCTCTCGGTGACCACCAGCCTCAGGGCTGCCGTCATGAGCCGGACTCCTTACTCCCTCGGTCATGAGAAAGGCCCGGCAGCCACAGGTGGACAGGATTCTCAGCTGGCAGAGCAGGGCCGGAGGGAACTCAGCGACTGCAGGGGCAGGTGGCCGGCTCTCTGAGATACCAGCACTGAGGCAGCACCTCCTGCCCTCAGCTCACACCTGTAGTTCCTGGACTGACCCTCTGGCCCACGTAAGCCACGCGGCTGCTGGGTAAGAGAGAAGGGACAGTAGGCCCCAAACCACAGGACTCCACTGCTATCCCTAGAGGCCACCAGAAGCCACAGGCAAGATAGGACCCACTGCCGCGTCTTACACAGGCAGCAGGGACTCCCCCTGAAGCCACCACGGCAGGGTTGCACCCCGGTAGTCGGGTGTTCTCATCTGGGGTAGGCAAAGTAGGATGGCGGCCAACTCTGGGCTCCATTCGCTTGCATGGCGTCTCTGTCCGCCTTGGGTATGGGGGGAGTCGGCAGGAAGCTCAGGCAGGGACAGGTGAGCTGGATCTGCCTGCCCCGCACTGTGTCTCTGTGCCCCTCACCTGTCAGCCCAGGATGCCCACTTTCCCACCACACCCTTGTGTCTCATCCAGGACCAGGAAGCAGGAGACACCATGATGGCCATGTGGAAATTAAACTCCACCTGGAGGCACCTTGAAGCCCCAGAGAGCCGCACACAAGCCCAGCTTCACTGTATTTAGGCATTCGGTTAGGGCGCCTCCCTCTATCTCACAGGAGGCTGATGGAGCATGTGAATCCCTCCCTCTCCGGCTTCCCCTCCCCCCACAGGTAACTGGGGCCCACGCGTGACAGGTATCTCTGTGTGGGGTGGTCCACAGGCACGTGTGAGTGTATATTCTCTGTTAATTAAATATATTGCTCCCACGTGAGCATGGTGGTTTTTTTGTTTGTTTTTTAACCTCTGCTTTAAACTCTTAGCTCTGTGAGGCAAGCACCGGGAGTAAAGATTCAATCGCAGGCCCACAGCACCTGCACACGAGGCAGGTGAATATGAGACAGACATGAGGCAGCCACAGCTGGTCCCTATGTAGGAGGCTCCTGCCTGCGATCTCCATCCCCCTGCACTGCAGCTGCAGGACGCCCCGCGGTTTCCGCTGCCATTGCCCTGGCTTCACCCGGACGCCCCGCGGTTTCCGCTGCCATTGCCCTGGCTTCACCCGGACGCCCCGCGGTTTCCGCTGCCATTGCCCTGGCTTCACCTCTCGCCCCGAGGACACATTTTGCCCGGATTTCTCTGGCCACCGCGCTCATGCCCCACTCTCCTCGCCAGCGCCCTGCGGAGGTGCGGCGGCGCCAGAGCCCAGCTCACCTGCTGCCAGCGCCGCGCCCCGAGGTGCCGTCCCGCAGCTGGAGCGGAACCCGGAAGCAAGGAAGGAACTTGCCAACTCCAGCCAGCGCCGCGGACGACCCGAACCCTGGAGTTGTCTTCTCCACACGCGGCAGGGGCACAGAAAAGCCTGCGGGTGTGCGGTGCCGCTGCAAACATGGGGCTTGTAGGAAGTGCTCACAGGTGGTGACTCAGAGCCCAGGGCTCCGCTGCCCGGTGCCGCCAGCCCGCGCCTCGCACTTCCTCTCCGCTTTCTTAAGGCTTTTTTTTTTTTTTTTGAATATTTTATTTTTATTGTACGCGCAGAGAAACAGAGACCTTGCATTCATTGTCTCATTCCCCAGCGCCTGCAGCAGCCAGGGCTGGGCCAGGAATCCAGGACCAAGAACTGCATGTGGGTCTCCCGGGAGGGTCACAGGGGCTCTGGTACTGGAGCTCTCACCAGCAGGGAGCGCGATCCAGGGGGAGTGGCAGGGACTGCACCCAGGCACCCCCTTAGGGATATGGGGTTCCCGAGGCTGCGGGTGCAGCCTCTTCTTCAGATGTGCCCCCCACCCCTTCCTGTCTTCATAAAACAAAGAACTCATTAAGAATAAAAGCAAACTTCTCAAAAAAAAAAAAAAAAAAAAAAAGAAGTCTGGCCGCTCAGCGTGTTATACCTAAGCCAGTATTGGAGAATTTGGAATGAGTGATTCCCAATGCCCCAACAGGGCTGGGCTTCTGCACACTCCCTCTGGTCACTGGTAGCCCTGATTAGAGGTGGAGGAAGGGCGGGGCCGCTCTGGATCTGGTTTTAGGCACTGGGAAAGTGCCTGGGTTGTTTCTGTCTAGGGGCCAATGACGCTGGGGGGATGGAGTTGAGTTGTTCTGGCCAAAGAAGGCGTCAAGTCCTGGCAGAGGTGACTCCATGAGGTGCACCCCCCCCCCCCGGAAGGCCTTGGCAGGAGGCACGTATGTTGCTTTGGTAATCAGGAAACAAACAACACCGAGCAGCCCTGGGAAGATGCTTTAGGACCCACCACGTGTCCCCACGCCCTGACCAGGTGGCCCCCGCCTAGAAGGAGCCCCGAAATAGTTTTGTGGCCATGCCTGGGCCCTGAAGAGACTATTTAGGGTATTTCTGCTCACTTCTCCTAGACAGGCTAGCTTAAGAAAAGACCACGTGCCTTAAAAGATAATGTGATTATGGGGGTGGGAGGGAAGCAAAAGAGCAGTAGGCTTGGCCGGCGCCATGGCTCACTAGGCTAATCCTCCACCTTGCGGCGCCGGCACACCGGGTTCTAGTCCCGGTCGGGGCACCGGATTCTGTCCCGGTTGCCCCTCTTCCAGGCCAGCTCTCTGCTGTGGCCAGGGAGTGCAGTGGAGGATGGCCCAAGTGCTTGAGCCCTGCACCCCATGGGAGACCAGGATAAGTACCTGGCTCCTGCCATCGGATCAGCGCAGTGCGCCGGCTGCAGCGTGCCAGCCATGGCGGCCATTGGAGGGTGAATCAATGGCAAAGGAAGACCTTTCTCTCTGTCTCTCTCTCACTGTCCACTCCGCCTGTCAAAAAAAAAAAAAAAAAGAAAAAAAAAAGAATCTTATTAAAAAAAAAAAAAAACCAATAGGCTAGTGCTAGTTTCAGAGGGGAGGCAGGAAGCAAACATGAGGAGGCTGGAAGATGCCCCCCCCCCCCAGGAGCTGGCTTCCTCGTGCTGCTCAAGCACAGTTGCCGTGTGTGGCCTTGAGTGGACGTGAGGTTGCAGCTGGCCCCCAAGAACCTTCCAGACAGGTCTGCTGAAGCTGCTCCTTCTCAGGCCATGCCCCCAGGTGGTGTTTGCATATGATGGAGCTTGTGGGTTTGTTGTCCTTGTTGTTGCCTGTTTTCTAAAGGAAGAAATAACAAGAGTTGCCAGAAGGAGGAATTCTGAATTCTGTAGTGAGGTGGTCCATCCTCATTCACTGCGACTGCTGTGGAATGGACGGGACGAGGGCTTGGTCTTGAAGAGTTACCGGAAGGATCCCCAGTGCGGGGTCGGGGGGTCAGGTCAAGACTGGGCTTTGGAGACCAGCCAGGGGTTTGCAGTGGTTGAAAGCCGCCTTCACAGGAAAAGGGACACAGGGAAGAAACAGGGACAGTGCCCGGGAACTTGGCTTTGCCTTCTGGGAGTGGCTTGCCCAGTTTCCTGAAGAATTTCTGACGTTAGGAAAAGGATTTTCCCTGCTTTTGCAGAGAATCCAGCTTGAATGAATCTGAGCAGTGTGTGAACATAACCGTGCCCACCTGGCCAGAAATTCCGGGGGAGATGCAAGAAGAGGGTTGTGGGCGGCCCTCCAAGAGGAGATGGAAGCCCCGGAGCTGCTCGGCCTGGAAGGCTGTGCTGCGGAGCTCGGGTGCTCGGCCCTTCTGCCTGCATTTACTCTGCTGCCTCTGCACCCAGGACCCCAGCCTGCACTCAGCTGGAGTGGGATAAGGACGACACAATTGCAGTCAAGAGGAGGCATCAGAGGGTTCATGGCACAGTGCAGGGAGGCTGCATCCCGTATCCGAGAACCCGGCTGAGTCTTGGTTGCTCTGTTTCCAGTTCAGCTTCCTGCAGATGTGACCGGGGAGTCAGCAGATGGTGGCTTAAGCACTTGGGTCCCTGACACCCACATGGGAGACTCAGATGGAATTCTGGCTCTGGCCTGGTCCCGCTGGTCCTGGCTGTTCTTGGCATTTGGGGAGTGAAATAGTGGATGGCAGGTTTCTCTCTCTCGCTAGCTGCCTCTTGAGTAAGTAAAAACAAACTTTCTTTTTTAAAGCAGAATTGGAGCATCAGTCTGTGTTATGTGTAACTTGGTCAACTGCAGTTTTCATCACCTAGGGTGCTGTGGGCAGGTGAAGAATGCATTCCTGGAGGAGCTCTCGCCCAGTGATGGGGGGGGGGGCACGAGGACAGGTGGGACAGGCGGGTGGGCGTCCTGAAGGAGCTGTCTCCCAGTGACGGGGGGGGGGCAGGAGGACACGTGGGACAGGCGGGTGGGCGTCCTGGAGGAGCTCTCGCCCAGTGACGGGGGGGGGGGCACGAGGAAAGGTGGGACAAGCAGATGATCGTCCTGAAGGAGCCGTCTCCCAGTGACGGGGGTGGGGGGGCACGAGGACAGGTGGGACAGGCAGGTGAGTGTCCTGAAGGAGCTGTCTCCCAGTGACGGGGGGGTGGTGGGGGTGGGCAGGAGGACAGGTAGGACAGGCAGGTGAGTGTCCTGAAGGAGCTGTCTCCCAGTGATGGGGGAGAGAGTACCGAGCATGATGTTTTCCAGATTCCTCCATTTTGTTGCAAATGACAGGATTTCTTTTTTTTTATCAATGTATATAATTGTATATAGTACATATCCCATAATTTCTTTATCCAGTCTACTGTTGAAGGGCATTTAGGTTGGTTACACATCTTAGCTATTGTGAATTGAGCTGCAATAAACATTGAGGTGGAGACAGCTCTTTTATTTGCCAATTTAATTTTCCTTGGGTAAATTCCAAGGAGTGGGATGGCTGGGTTGTATGGTAGTGCTATATTCAGGTTTCTGAGGATGCTCCAAACTGTCGTCCCTAGTGGCTTAACCAGTTTGCATTCCCACCATCAGTGGGTTAGTATGCCTTTTTCCCCACATCCTCACCAGCATCTGTTGTTGGTTGATTTCTGTATGTAAGCCATTCTAACTGGGTTGAGGTGAAACCTCATTGTGGTTTTGATTAGCCTTTCCCCGATGGCTAGTGATCCTGAACATTTTTTCAAGTGTCTGTTGGCTGTTTGGATTTCCTCTTTTGAAAAATGTCTGTTTAGGTCCTTGGCCCATCTCTTAAGTGGGTTGTTTGTTCTGTTGTTGTGGAATTTCTTGATTTCATTTTAGATTCTGGTTATTAATCCTTTATCAGTTGCATATTTGCAAATATTTTCCCATTCTGTTGGTTGCCTCTTCACTTTCCTGACTGTTTCTTTTGCAGTACAGCAACTTCTCAATTTGATGGAATCCTTATTGTTAATTCTGCTCTTGATTGCCTGTGCCTCTGGGGTTTTTCCATGAAATATTTGCCTTTGCCTATATCTTGTGTGGTTTCTCTGATGTTCTCTAATAATTTGATGGTGTCAGGTCGTAGATTTAGATCTTTAATCCATTGTGAGTGGATTTTTGTGTAAGGTGTAAGGTAAGGGTCTTGCTTCATAGTTCTGCATGTGGAAATCCAGTTTTCCCAGCACCATTTATTGCATAGACTGTCCTTGCTCCAGGAATTGGTTTTAGCTCTTGATCAAATATGAGTTGGCTGTAGATATTTGGATTGATTTCTGGTGATTCTATTCTGTTCCATTGGTCTTTCCATCTGTTTCTGTAACAGTACCATGTTGTTTTGATTATAACTGCCCTGTAGTATGTCTTGAAATCTGGTATTGTGATGCTGCAGCTTTGTTTTTGTTTTACAAGATTGCTTTAGTTATTCAAGTTCTCCTGTGCCTCCCTATGAAATTCAGTATCATTTTCTTCAGATTTGAGAATAGTGTCTTTGGTTTTGATTGGTATCACATGGAATCTATAAATTGCTGTTGGGAGAATGGGCATTTTGATGATGTTGATTTTTCCAATCCATGAGCATGGAAGATTTTCCACTTTTTGGTCTCCTCTTCTATTTCTTTCTTTAAGATTTGTAATTGTCATCGTAGAGATCTTTACCATCCTTGGTTAAGTTTATTCCAAGGTATTTAATTGTTTTTGTGGCTATTGTGAATGGGATTGATTGTAGAAGTTCTTTCTCAGCCGTGGCATTGCCTGTGTATACAAAGGCTGTTGATTTTTGTGCATTGATTTGATATCCTGCTACTTTGCCAAACTCTTCTATGAGTTCCAATAGTCTCTTAGTAGAGTTCTTTGGATCCCCTAAATAAAAAATCATATCATCTGCAAAGAGGGATAGTTTGAGTTTTTCCTTCCCAATTTGTATCCCTTTAATTTCTTTTTCTTGCCTGATGGCTCTGGCTAAAACTTCCAGAAGTATATTGAATAGCAGTGGTGAGACTGGGCATCTGTCTGGTACCAGATCTCAGTGGAAATGCTTCCAACTTTTCCCCATTCAATATGATGCTGGCTGTGGGTTTTTCATAAACTGTTTTGATTGTGTTGAGGAATGTTCCTTGTATACCCAATTCGCTTAGAGTTTTCATCATGAAAGGGTGTTGTATTTTATCAAATGCTTTCTCGGCATCTATTGAGAGAATCATATGGTTTTTCTTCTGCAGTCTGTTAATGTGGTGTATCACATTGATTGATTTCTGAACATTGAACCATCCCTGCATACCAGGGTTAAGTCTCACTTGGTCTGGGTGGATGATCTTTCTGATGTGTTGTTGCATTCTATTGGCGAGAATTTTATTGAGGATTTTTGCGTCTATGTTCATCAGGGATATTGGTCTGTAATTTTCTTTCAATGCAACATCTTTTTCCGGCTTAAGGATTAAGGTGATGCTGGTTTCATAGAAAGAATTCGGGAGGATTCCCTCTTTTTCAATTGTTCTGAATAGTTTGAGAATTGGAGTTAGTTCTTCTTTAAATGTCTGGTAGAATTCAGCAGTGAATCCATCTCGTCCTGGGCTTTTCTTTGTTGGGAGGGCCTTTATTACTGTTTCAATTTCTGTCTCAGTTATGGGTCTGTTTAGGTTTTCTATGTCTTCCTGGTTCAATTTAGGTAGGTTGCATGTGTCCAGGGAATCTATGCATTTCTGATAGATTTTCCTGTTTG